AAGTATTTTATAGATAAATAGGCCAGCTGGACAGAGATGAGAATAGGGATCCTAGTACCCTCACCATTGGCGGAATAGAATTCGGAAATAAGAAAAGAATCAGTTGCCTTTACCCAATTTTGTAGGCTATTTTTGTCCGAACCAATTAGGATATGCAAATCAGTGCAAACGGGCCTTTAAGCAAATCAAGTACACGAGCGAAAAAATCCTGAACTGACTCAATGGCTTTGGACAACAGTAAACATCATTAAAAACACCCACAGGGAAGACCTTTACTAAGTCTGTGCATGAGATACCAAAATGACAGAGACGCCTTAAGCAACCCTCTACAAAATTGATGCACGTTAAGCCGGAGCATTGAGAGCGTTTACTTACCTGAAGCCCAGTCGGGCTCCCGTTTAATCGGATTAGCAGATCCGGGTATTGTTTTGCGGACAGCACCGACTGATTTGACGGGGACATGAAAAACATTTGGACGTTGGAATGTGATGGTCCTTTGGTGCGGTGTTGCAGACAAGCAGTTACGCTTTGCGCCAAGCGGTATCTGTCTGAAGGTGTTAGCTGTCAAAGTCAGGCGTTCAACCACCGGAGGAGGCACTTTATGCTGAATGGGTTTAGGAGCACTTGGAAAAGATGAACGTATGATGGGTGTGCGGGTCTGCAGATGATAAAAGGGGGTTGGCGGAGATGGGGGCGCCACCAGTGGCACCTCCTGAAAGGAGACAACGGGAGGCACCTCGATTTCACTCGATGCATGTTCCAGGGACGCAGTGGACACCGAAGGAGATTCGTCTATGATCGTGGCTGCTCCAACTTCCTCCGATGACTGCAGGCACAAAGCTTCACCAGGAGTCAACAACAGGTCGCCAGGATCTGAGATAGATAAAATGTGGGATGTGTAAGGTAGCATATGCGTGGTTATTCTAATAGTTATAGTTATATGCTAAATATGTCTTGTAGAGGGAGAAAAAAATACATCAAATGTGAAAGGCCAATGTAGGTTGATTTACATCAGTTTTCCATCATGTGACAAGAACGCCTTGAGCACACAAGTTTAGTATTGCCGAAATGTCGGTATCGTCAACGTGTTAGGGTCAGTCCCAAAACTGTAAAAACCATTTGATTGGAACACTGCAAACATCTGCGGAATAACTGTGTAGCCACAACCTATCCTGAAATTTAGTGTTACTAGCAGCATACTTTCGTATGAAAAAGATTTTGGCATACCACAGACAGGTTCTTCCAAAATTTTCTAGTGAAATACGCAATAAATTCCAGTAATAGTTTGAAAATTCGGATGGATAAAGACAATTCCGGAGAGCGATTGCTTTCTACGCAGCCACGAAGCGAAGATGCCACTGGGGGCTAAAATGTAGGCCAAAAATGTAAACCGTCTGCCCAATGATAATAGACGATCGATGTTTGTTGGTAGTTACTTTCAAATATTCTGCAAAAATTCAGCCAATTAAGATCAAGCCGAGGTCCCTGAGTTTAACTGCGAGCGCCGCCAGGCTATTGCGGAGGCAACTTTTTACACAACTTCGACTTCATTCCCTGTAACTAGTCGCGTCTTCGGACGCCTTTACTCATCCACATAGAGCATCCTTCCACACAATAAACCAAAAATTTAGAGGTGTACTTTGACGACACCTGCGTCAAGCTACGAAGAGTTTACCAGACCTATGAATGGAAGCTTCGCCATTTTCACATTTGTTATCGTCGTGGGAGAGTAAAAGTGAAATAGCAAACCGCGGCATGCTTGAAAAATTTGTTGAGGTGAGCAAGTTATGAGAAGGCACATGAAGACTATAAATGCCTGCTCACAGGAGACACAAAATAAAAACCTGGTTAACGAATTAAAAGTAGGATTAAGAATCATATTAATATCAAGGTTTAATCGCAACGCAAATACGAGTACCCTAAGGGAAAACTTACTGCTAATACCGCTGTCACTGTCTGAAGTGTCAGCAGTGGTTTTTTCTGCTCCGAACAAATTCCCATCAAAGCCATCTAGATCAAACTTCGGCAAAAGTTAGAAAGGGATGTGAGTGTACCTCCGGATTGTCCAGGATCTGTTGCATATCGAGATCAAAGTCAACTGTAAATGTTAATCTACTAACTGAAGGCCTTACCAAACTCCTCATTGAGGAAGGTGAACATATCCGTGTCCAATGCATTTTCAGCCTCGGC